TCTCTCCAGGGTTGCTTTCAATCCATTCTTCTTCCAGCCTGTGCTTGGGATTGCCCTGACCCAGGGGCAGCACCTTGTGCTTGGCCTTATTGAACTTCATGAATTTGGCACAGCCCCACATCTCCAGCCTCTGCAGGTCCCTCTGGATGTCCCATCTCTTTCCTGGAGCGTGTGACTGCACCACCCAGCTCGGTGTCATTGGCAAACTGGCCAAAGGTGCATCAATCCCACTATCCCTGTCTCAGACACAGATGTCAAACAGCTCCAGTCCCAATCCCAACCCCTGAGGACACCACTCCTCACTGGGCTCCACTTGGACATTGAGCCATTGACCACAGCTCTTTGCATGTGACCATCTAGACAATTCCCTATCCACTGAGGTGTTCATCCATTAAATCCTTGTCTCCTAACATGATTTATTAGTTAACTGCGGTGGTGTTTAAAGACTTGGAACAGCTGGCTCAGAGTCATTACTATTAGCATCTTTAAAAATAGAATTGGCAGTATTTACAGAAACACTAATGATAGGAAAACATGTGAAATCTCCCCCTTATGTAATGTTTATTGAAAGAATTATGTGTTCTGTTAGAGGAACTTTCAAAAATAAACATAGGCTTTTCTCTGTAGGTTTTTCTTCTCGATGAAGAAGGCTTGTGAATTTTAAGAATCACAGTAATATTCCTTTCATCATCTTAAATACGTTGCAATTACAGCCATTATATTCAGGAAAGTGCTTTTTAAGGAATTTAATATCATGCTATCTTGCCCCCCATGTTTCTATGACCAAATTAGGAGTGTCTTACAATATTTGCCTCCTTTGCAGTTTTGTGATAATTGGTGGTGTTTTTGTTTAGAAACCGCTTCATCAGCTGCCTGAGACCAGATAACCATGAAGAATGTAATGCTGCTTCGGGCAGTTTTATTTCTGTTTACACTGGTTTTATACAGGATAACTTCGCTGGTACCAGGGAGCCTTATCTTGATTTACAGTGATGAAAAAAGAAAATTGTCACCATTCTGTACAAGCAGTAACACAGCAGACTGGGAACCATAATAGCTCCCAGTAGGGTAGAGCATAATGAGGTAAACTGCAAGATCCATGTGCCTAAATGAAGTGTGAGATTAACAACAAAAGTTTAAATATTATCTTCAGTTTCCCTCATGCTAATTTTGACAGGATATAAAATACGCAGGTCACGATGCTTGGGAATGAGAATGGTCAGTCATTCCTCAAAAAGGGGACTCATTCACTTGCAGAACTGAGGCGTTTGAGAAAGTTGGAGGAAATAATTCCTGATAAAAATCCCTCGATTAAAATAATCAGGAATTTAATAAAAAATTCGCTTGGCCTGTCCTAGATTAGAGGAGGTGTTTCCTCTGCCAGGTAAATGAATGCATGTTGGCTTTGCCTGTTGAATGTCAGTGGATTTTGATGACGGATGAAAAGACGATGAATTTGGTCCAGCATATGCAATTCCTTAAGGACAGAGGGGATTTCGTGGCTGGGGAAATGGAAAAAGCCCCTCCAGTCTCTTGGAATCTGTGAGGAAAGAGCAAATACTCAAAAGTAAATATAGATGGGAAAAGACAAACTCTTCCCAAGGTCTGAGTGGTTGCTCTGCCCTTTGCAAGTCTCTGCTCTCAGCTGGATGAAACCCCACGGTGCCAACTCACCCTCCAAGGCTGCAGAGAGCCTGCCAGGCAGCTCCTGGCCCACGATCTGCTCAGCAGCCACGCACACCTTGGCCAGTGGATCTTCCACCACCAAATGCCTTGGGGTCTTCAGGTGTGGACCCATCTCCACGGCAAGGGAGCAGGGTAAGGCCCAGCCTGGTGCGCAGGTGACTGCTCTGCAGGGCAGCACCTGGCACGGGGCCATGCCCATGGGAAGGATGGGCTGGGGGCATGGCACACTCTGCTCACCACAGCATTTCTGATTTCCCTAAGGATTTTCTCCTGCTTTCCCTAGAAAAAAACAGAGCCTTCTCATGGCCTTTTTTTGTCTTTTGGGATCAAAGCAAACCATCTAATCTGCTGTGTGTTGACAGTTTTCAGGACAGATAGAAATGTACAGGGTATCCCCAAGACTTCCACTGGTAAAATGCCTGATTGTCTCTTCATCAAATATAAAACATAAAAAGAAGACTGGAAAACAAAGAAGAAAAAATGAACCAAAAGGAGTAATGAATTCTTAGAGTTCTGAAGAACAGCCTGTTCCAAATGACCCCTTTGGGCCCCCAGCTCACATGTTTGCCCCTTAGAGGGGCAGTCAGAGCTACAGCCAAAGATGTTTGAGGAATAAATTACCGTGAAAGTCAGCTTTTATTTAAACTCCCTCATTTCAAACACAAAGTGGCTCTCTGTTTCCCTGGAGACCAGGAGATGTAAGAAGGCAGAATTTTCTCTCCATTTCCCTTTCCTGCACTGGACCCCTATAGAGCAGATTTTGGACTTTCTTTTTTTCCCCTCCTGTAAGACCAACATTAATTACTGACTGGGCATTTTTCTCAGGTGATTTTAGTTGTGTCCCTGAGGTGGGTGACCTGTGCTGAGACTCGTAACGTGCAGGTGTTTGCCGAGGGGATCAATGTATCTCACTGAATGTTACTCACTGGGTTTAATAGTGGTGTCAGACACAAGTGCTCATTGAACAGAAAGGAAGCCCCTTTTCAAGTTCTAGAAGTAAAAAATTAGTAAAATTCTGCTACAGAAATAACACAGCACTACAAAAAAACCCCCAAAACCAAACTGACTTCCACGATCTTTCATTTGTTTTCTATTAGACTCCTCTTTGGGGAGGTAAAATCATTTACTACACTGCTCATGAAGCAAAAATTGAACAAACCCTGTGCTGCACCTTCTACCACCTTACAGGGAAAGGAATAAGGAGATGGGGTGGAATGAAATTGTCCTCTGGCATGAAGACAATCACATCTTTATGTCCCAAACTTTTTCCTATGCTATGTCTTGAAAATTTATTGGGAAAAGACTCTGATTCTGTGCCCTGGATTTGATTGTCCAAATATTAGTAGAGAATGAAAGAAATGATAACTGACTGAAGATGTTTTAATGGCATCTTTCATACTTTTCCTACAGACCGTAAAGGGAGAAAAAAGGAAGGAGGAAAGCTGATACCTCTGAGGTTTGCAGTGTATTTAAACACAAACCTATCCCTAAACAAAGCCAAAATTACTGTCTTGTGTAAAACTGTTCTATCTTTTTATTTGAGAGCAAATTCTTTCTGATTTCTCAAAGAAATATTCTTTGAGAACTATTCTTTGCCTTTGGAAAACTGTTCTTAAATGACACCCTTCCATTGTAATCCTTTTACAACTTCCAGGCTCTTTGAAATAATGATTGCCTCCTCCTGTGAGGAGCACAATAACTGATGTATCCATTTCAAAACACGCTGTGAAAGAAAACAGCATCAGTTTTAAATGAAAACTTGGGAAGCAGCATCTCAGGAACCATGAAGGTGGTGCTGGTGTAACAGCTGTGATCTGCTGGCTCCAGGGCTGTCCCTTGCCGGGACACTGCTGGCACTGTGAGTTATTTCTGAGAGATGCATTCCATCAGTCATTCCACAAGACATTTCAGTTCAACAGGCCGTGAAAACCAGTGTCACGAGTGTGTTGCAGCTCAGCATTTTCATGGGGTTTAATAAGGGCAAGTGCTGGTGCTGTACCTGGGTCAGGGCAACCCCTGGTGTTAATTCAGGCTGGCGATGAGCAGATGGAGCAGCCCTGGGAGAAGGACTTGGGGGTGCTGATGGGTGAGAGGCTCGACATGGCCCAGCCCAGAAACCCCCCTGTGTGCTGGGCTGATCCCATAGTGTGGGATCAGGGGGAAGGGGGGATTCTGCCACCTCAGGTGAGACCCCACCTGCAGAGCTGCCTCGAGCTCTGGGGTCCCAGCACAGGAGGGACATGGATGGACCTGTTGGAGCGAGTCCAGACGAGGCCACGGAGATGATTAAAGGGCTGGAGCAGCTCTGCTCTGAGGAAAGGCTGAGTTGGGGTTGTGCAGCCTGGAGAAGAGAAGGCTTAACAGCGACCTAATTGCGGCCTTCCAGTGCCTGAAGGAGCCTACTAGAAGAACGGAGAGAGAATATTCAAAAGGGCCTGAAGTGCCAGAACAAGAGGGAATGGCTTCTTGTGGCTACTGCTGTCGGCAGTGAGCCCTAGTGACCGATGCAAGATGTGCGATGTGCGCGGTCACAGATACCGCCGAGCGCCGGAAAAGGCTGGCTGTAACACAGCCGGGTGGCCCGTCCTGCCGAGGCGATCTTTATGTACGAGATTAAAAACAACGCGGCTGGGTGAGAGAGATGCTGCGGTGAACGCACCCGGAGGGAGAGGAGTACGGGGAGGGGACGGAGCAGGGCCGTGGGTACCGAGCGGGCGGGCTCAGCGCGGGGAGCCGGGATCACGCCCCTCGGACGCAGCCCCGTGCTCGGTGGGATGCGGGAGGAGCCCCAGGTCCCTCCCCCCGGTCCCGCTCCGCCCGGCTCCCCCTGCTCCCGCCTCGCTCCCGCCCCCCGGTCCGGCTCCACCCCACCGCCCGCATCCCTTCGGCCCCGCTCCCGCCCCTCGGTCCCGCCCTGCCCCGCCCGCATCCCCCGGGCCCCGCTCCACCCACATTACCCCGCTCCGGGCCCCGCTCCGCTCCACCCCAGCGCCCGCATCCCACGGGGCCGCTCCTGCTCCCAGTCGCGCCCCGCTCTGCTCGGTCCCCGCCGCGCTGCCCGCATCTCCCCGGATCCGACCCCTTCCCGTATCCCCCCGCTCGCGCTCCGCTCCGCCCGCATCCCGCCGGTCCACCTTCTCCCACATCCCCCCCGTGCCCCCCATCCCGGCCCCGCTGTGCTCCCCCCGCCCCGCCGCGCTGTGGCCGCCGCGGGCAGGGGCCGGGGGGCGGTGGGCGCTGCCATGCGGGCGGGCGGCGCCGGGGCGCGGGGCGGCTGAGGGCGGCGGCGGGGCCGCCCGCGGGAGCCGCCGGGCCGGCGCGGAGCGGCCGCAGGGCATGCCAGCCGCCTGCCCCGATGTTTCACTGGAGCAAGTGGAAGAAGAGGATGGGAGCGAGCGCCTCCTCCTCCAAGAGACCCGTCTTCGACGAGCGGGAGGACGGTGAGTTCCGGCCGTGAGGCTCCGGGATGCTCTGCCCTGTCCAGCCCGGGATGCCAGCCCTGCTCCGGGATGCTCTGCCCTGCCCAGTCCGGGATGATCTGCCCTACCCAACCCCGGTGTGCCCTGTCCCGGGGCGCTGAGACCCCCCCGCTCGTCCCGGGGGTCCCGCAGCACCGCTACCGGCGGGGGAGCGGTGCCGCGGTGCGGGTGTCGGGCCGGGCGGTGCCTCCCCGTGGGGCGCAGGGACTCTGCCCGCGGGTACCCCACAGACACGGGGCAGTTGTGGTTAAAACCCGGGGCGGCTAAGAAAAGGGCGGCGAAGGGATAGTTCATCAGTGAAGTTTCAGTCTGTGCTCGGACAGCCCCGGTTTTAACGAGGAAGGGCCAAGTGCCGCCGACCATCAACGCCCAGACACTGCTGTCAGTGCAGAGTGCCTGCTTTGGGGTTTTTCCCAACATACAAGTTGTGGGTTTCTTTTGTAGAAATACACCACGAAATACCACCGTTGCATTAGACTTCTCGAGTGCAGGGTGAAATTGCAGAGGAGGAAAGGAAGGAAACTTTGATTGCAGGTGGAGGAAGAGTTTGGAGAGCCGTCGGGCCCGCAGATGGGTGGCATATGGTCGGGGCAGCCCAGCGCTGCATTGGCCCTGGGGCACCAAATGAACACGGGCAAAAATCCCCGTGTGCACGGAGTGCTGGAACTGTGCTCTGGATAAACCCGGAATTAGGTGTGTTCATTTGAGTCTCTGAGTACAGTGATGGGCAGGTCAGGGTCTGCTGGCATCCCCTCGCTGAGGGGACCAGACCTGGCTGTGCTGCTCTGGCAGCTGACGGGGGTTAAATCAGGCAAACTTTTCCTGGTGCAGGAGCTGGTTGGTTTCCCCAACACGTTCTTATTAGCAGTTCACAGCAAGCGAGCTGAGTAAAAATGCTTAAATTGGAGGCTTCGCTGCAATTTCATTCTGAAAGCAAAATTTCTTTCTGTGAAGCATTTCATTGTGCCCTGAGCCTTTGTGCAACCAACCAGGGAGCCTGAGCTCTGCAGGTGAATGACCACTGACAGGAGCCTCATTCATCAGGTGCTTTCAAGCAGCGCTTTTGTAATATGTCCTAATTATTGGGATGTTACTTTCTTGATATCTGCTGCTTTTCCATTATTCCTTGTTGGTGTATGCTTGGAGCAATTACAGTGTTGTTCTGGTGAACTCATATTTACTGGCACAGCATGGTTGCTATGGTGATCTCTGAAGACATCCCAATAACTTCCTTAGATAAAGAAGCCAGTTAATACTTGGGGTTTGTATGTGACATAACGTGGAAGAGTTACTAGTGATGGCAATTTAATGTGAAATCAATTCAAAAAAATAAAAAGGAAAACTACTGGTTGGTATGTGAAATTTTGCCCAAAGGTAGTTCCTGGTGATGGATCTCTACTCATGGATGAGTCCGACTCAGCCAAAATCCATCGGATGATCCCTGGGAATTGTGGCGGGGTGTATGTAAATAGAAGGTTAAGGTTTATTGTAGTGAGTACTAGCACAAAGCCCAATGTTTTCCCTCTAAAAATAAATCCAACTCTAAACCCTTACAGTCTTCTTCCTTGACTTCCTGGGGACTGGGGACTCACTGCCTCCTGTCACACCAGTGTGGCTGGGCTGGCAGGCAGGGGTTTTGTGGGGCTGGGCAGTAACGTGTTTGCTCTGTCTCAGTGTAAAACACCTGGCCATGGAGGGTTATCTGCTGTCAGCCTCAATGCCAGAAATTGCCCTTCCTCCCCAGCCTGCATCTGTCCAAGCCCAGCTGCCTGCTCCTGGATCTCACCTGGATAAACGGAGGATTACCTGTGTCACATCCCTCTCTTGCTGTCGGGGCCGTGGCTGCCTGGTGTCCTCACTGGTGGGACACATGGATTGAGCTCTCTGAGTCCGTTACTCCAAGGATAAAACTTCATATTCCCGAGTCTTTCCTATGGATCTTCTCTAACCCTCTCCGTATTTTTCAGGATCTCTTTTGTTAGTGCTGGTATAGGGCTCATTCTCCAGCAGGGCTGGGGTCCAGGCTGGCCGGTGCTGGTGCAGCCAAGTGTGCAGGGCTGGCTCCTCGTCCATCTAGGGCCAGGGGCTGTGTGGAGCTGTGCTTGGGGAGTCATGCCTGAGGGACAGCTGTGCTGCTCCCTCCTTATTTCCCTTCCTGGGTGCTGTGGTGTCCCCAGCCCCTCAGTTTTCCCCCAGTTGAGGTAACTTCCCCTGGCTGTGAAGCTGGGTGTGCCCCGTCCTGTGTGTTGGGGACAGCGCATCTGACTCCCTCTGGGTGCCCTGCCTGGCTGCAGCCTGCACAGTGTGTACACCCTGCTGCTCCATGTTTGCACATACGGCCTTGGAAATATCTCTGGGCATTTCAAGTGGGGATTCGACTAATAGAAAAGCTGACTGTGAAAGGATAGCGCCTGCACGTTCGTGTTTGCTTCCAAGGAACACTGGTATGAGGGAGATGGGCTTCCCTGCCTGTGGGAGCCATGGCTCCAGCTGGTTCCAGTCCCCCAGAAAATCTGGCAAGTTGCACATGCATCAGCTGGGCTCGAACTCCAGCCTGTCCAGCTGGAGATTCTGCCTCAGCTCATTTTTAGTGAGGTGTTTTGAATCCTGTTCCTAAACAGAGAAAGTTAATAAGTGGGGAGGGGAAGGGAGGAAAAACAAAGTAAGGGAAAATGTGGGAAGAAGAGGACAAGACAAAAGAACAGAAGGGCTGCAGGGTCGAGCCCTTGGAGTTACAGTGCACTGGAGTATGGTGGGCTGAGTAAACTCAAGTGAGTTATAGTGGCCTTGTGGGTTCAGTGTTATCACCATGTGCTGTTTTCTCTTGGGAAGAACTGGCCTTTGTCTGTAGAGGCTGTTCAGGGTTTGTTATTTATACCTGTAAGAATCTTTCAAAAACTCCTCACCCCATGAGTGGATTTGTTCTCCAGCCCCACAGAATGCCCAGGCTAGGTGGTCACTGCCTGCCTGCCAGATGTGAGACATCTCTCTGTGCAGGGCATGGAGCACTGGGGTGTCTCTTAGAGGCACAGGATCACTGAGGTTGGAAAAGCCCTCCAAGATTATCAAAGTCCACCCTGTGCCCGATCCCCACCTTGTCACCCAGCCCAGAGCACCGAGTGCCACGGCCAGACCTTCCTTGGACACTGCCAGGGATGGGCACTCCACCACCTCCCGGGGCAGCCCCTTCCAATGACTGACCATCCTCTCCATGAATAAATTCTTCCTGTTATCCAACCTGAACCTCCCCTGGCACAATCTGAGGCAGTTTCTTCTTGTCCTGTCCCTTGTTCCCTGGGAGCAGAGCCCGACTCTCACCTGGCTTCACCTTCCTGTTAGGGAGTTGTAGAAAGCAAGAAGTCACAGCACAGCATTCATGAAGCTTGTTTGTCATGTGGGCAGGAATTATTTTCTGTTGTCGTTCGGGGAAACAGCCAAGCAAGTTTTATTGAAACTCCCCTCTTTTTTTTTTTTTTTTTTTTTTTTTTTTTTTTAATAAATTTTTTTTAATTTTTTTTTTATTTATTTTTTATACTAAGTGAAGCAAACCTGTCATTATGCAGCCAGTGGGAATGTTTCAACCCAGATATTTAAAAAATGTTTAGCAGAGTGACTGGACTTGGGCATCCAGGCTGAGCAGGAGGAAATACAGGGCACACTTAGTGCTATTAGCACTGCCCACAGTTGTGTTGTGTGAGAGAGGGGAAAACCACAGCATGATGTATCTCTCCATGCAATTATGTCTGAAGAGGAATTTCAATAGTGCATTTTGGTTATGGTTTCTCCTGAATCAAAGTGGCTTACTAAAAAAAGTGTGTGTAAATATACATGAAAATCTGTGAAGCCATCTGCTGCTTCCTGCTGAGCTGTGCCTCCCCTCGCTGACATGAGGCGAGTGGTCTGAGGGTTCCTGCTCATGTCCTGAGGCTGAATTAGTTTTCCAGCTGATGTACAAGGTTTTGATGCTGCAGCTCAGTGACTTTCACCATGATTAATATTTTGCCTCGGTCACTTTTTTTCCCATCCCTTGCTTGACTCTCTCTGCCAGCGTGCAGATGGTTTTTCCTAAGGGGGTCAGGTGCAGACTCCTGGGTTTATCCTACTTGCATCAAAATCGTCTTTTAAACACAAGTTTCCAGTTTTACAGCCCATGGGTGCAGCTCTCCCAGTTAAGCAGCCTCACTCTGAGAAAAGTATGCTCAGAGTTAGTCTGGGTTGGGTGGAGTGTCCGTGGTGTGTCCCCTCTCAGGGAACAAGCTCTCTTTGGAATTCTTTGGCTTAGGTAATACTGGAATGAGGCAGCAAGCTGGGGTTTGGGGCTGAAACCCCAACTGCAGGGGCAGCTGGCAGCGTCTGGGGGAGTTGTGCAGAGTGAGGGGTGCTGTGGTCAGTCTGTCTGTGGCTGTGTGTATTGGTAGATGTGGGTCTAAAAGGTTCCAAGCAGTCACTCTGTGAATGTCTGCGGGAGCTTCCAAGCGGAGAAACTGGTCTCTAAAACGTGGCTCTGTGGAAAACCAGGAAACCCTTACGCAGCTCATCACTGCTTCTCTGGCTGTGCTGTTTGTTGAAGGGTCCAGCTTTAGGGACACGCTGGGTCCGGGGGGGCTCTGAAGCCCCTCTCTGCCTCCCCACCAGCCTCCTCATCCCGGCGGGGATCGACGCGGGAGGCCGGAGAGCCTTGGCAGCCGTGCATGGCATCCATCCCCATGGAAACGGGCGAGAAGCTGCAGAACCTGGGGGAACGTGCTTAAAATAATCCCCATTTTCATTTCAAGCCATGTGTTGGTAGCGGTGGGGTCACACACCCCGGAGCAGGAGTGGGCATCCCTCCTGCCTTGCCCTGGGCAGCGGGAACGGGAGCGGGAGTGGGAGCGCTGCGCTTGTGGAGCTGCTGGTGAACAGAGAATGAACTGTGAGTGCGGAGCCCACCTGCCTCTGGCTCCCACCTGGCATCTACAGCC